TCTTGACCCAAGAGAGCACTAAAAAAAAAAAGCCCCCCCCCCCCCCCAATTTAATCATCCTGGTCTATTTGTCAGTACCAGCAGAATACTATGTAGCACAGTGCCAATTAAATCTCTTGCTTTTGATTGCCAATAAAACACTACAGGTTCAGGCCTGTGTAGCCAGAGGGAGGAGTTTGGGTTGCCTATTCTTGATCTGGGAAGCTGAAGCTCCCAGATGCGTATCGCTGGTGCCGTCTGGGTTAGGTGGTGCCTGGAGGCTGCAGTCAGGGTGCTCGGTACATGTGATGAAGGCATAGATTAACCTAGCTTCACTAGCAGCGTCCAAGCTCAATACAATGCAATGCAAGACTGGCTTTCCACACATTCCGAGTTACTACAGCCCTATGCGCAGTCTTAGCTGCTTCAAATGTCACTGTACCTTCAGCACCTCCTGGGAAGCAGTCTTATACAGAGAGGCATAGATGTGCTGTGGCTCTTTCCTGTTAGGCTGTGCCCATGGGGAAGAAAGAAGCTAAAGCCTCTTTCGTAGTTAAGTTCTATTTGTGCAGTTGGCTTACAGCTCCCAAATGCCCAACACGGGAAAGCCTTCAGGCCATCCACCCTGGGTAGGTATAAGCAGGATGCAGCAGGAGAGCACTGCAGGGAGGAGCGGGCAAGGCTTCAGCGGAGTGAAGATCTGTGTTAACAGAACAGCTCTCTGAGACTGGGACTAGTCATCCCTTCACTGTTGCACCCATGACCATGGTCAGCTCTGTCTGCTTTCAATCTTGTGTGCCAAGAATGAGTTCTAGCCCCCATGAGAACCTGCTTCTCTGTGCTCTTTCCCACTTCCGTACAGATTCTGGCTGAAACAGGACAATAATTACATTTTCTGCTTTTGGCCCATTCGTATCCAAACTCCACCCACTGGCTTAAGACATCTGTAGTATCATTAAGATTTTTCATATCCAGCAGTGTTCAAACTTTGTCATGGAAGCAGGTCAGGAAAGAAGGGCACTGGCATATTATGCAAAAAAACATACAGCTGCCTAGCACCATTCAGCTGATTACCACTGACATTCTGAAATGAAAATATCTGGTGAAGTCATATTCTAAGGCAGTTTCTATGTTCTCCTCTAGAACTGGAGGCACAGATCTTAAGAAAACAAAACATCCATTAAGGCTAGTCTACACATTTCTGATTCCTAACTTGCCCTTTTTACTGTGCTAAGCAGGTTGAATTATATTAGACCTGCTGTCATACTGCTCAGTAGCCGAAAGAAATGGTAGACGGACTTTTTACCCTCTCTGGATTCTGGTTAGCAAAAGTGAAACTAAAAACCATTGGCAAAAATTTGTGCTGAACTTTCCAAATGCACAGTAAGCTCAAGTTCATCAGAGTGGAGAAAAGCTGTGTGACAGTTTGTTTGAATGAATCTAATTATTGGTCTTGTCAGTACTGTGTTGCATCAAATCATCCTCTCAAAGAGAAGTAACACAACAACGCTGCGTACATACTAAGTGGTATTTTGGTGGAGAGTTGCATAAGCTAAGTGACAATTAGATTTGTTTCATAACAGGTCCCACCTGAGTCAGTGAGAGAAAAAATAGGCATGCCAAAGGTGATAAGCACCGATGTTCCTTCAAATAGACAGAATATGATCTCAACTGTACTAAAAGGAAATGTTGCTAAAGTGAACTGTAACCTCAGCTGTTATGTGACATCTTTACTGTGAGTCTCCTTTTATAAAGCAGACAATTTTTCTATGTTCTGTACAGTAATATTAAAACCTGAATTATGTATGTATTGTCTTCGAAGATGTTGCCTGCAAATTCATATTTTTCAAGGCTTTCCATTTCTTCATTTTTATTTCTTTAACAGTTCCACCCAAAAGGGAGATGATGATTATGAAGATTACACTTCAAATAAGACTTGGGTTTTGACTCCCAAAGTCCACGAGAGTGATGTCACTCTTATTTTAAATGGCTTGCTGGAAGGATATGACAACAAGTTGAGACCTGACATAGGAGGTATGTTGGTTTTCTTTTTAGACCACTTCTGATTAAGTGGTGAAGAGAAGGACTTTTCATACCATGTTATGCTACACAGGAAGCAGAATCCATTCAAAGTAGTTACGAAAACATAATACAATGTAGTAAAACATCAGAGGCATGAAAAGGAGTCATCATTTTGGAACCTAACATAAATTAAGATTACTAAATCTATCCTGAGACATCTAACAAGACTGTTGCTGAATCAGGCTGCTTGTAATGATGCACCTACGTAGAAGTCTGGAATTTAACTTTTGGGGGATGAAAAAACAAGTTTTTATCTGCTTTATACATCTACATGAGGGTGTTAGAGAATCACAAATAACATATGGGAAAGGAAGGCCAAAATGAGGCTAACACAGCCTGATTCTTGTGTGATGTGATGGACACAGACAGAGCCTCTAACAGCAGCAGGTCTGAATTGACTGATGCGGCACGGGCCCTCACTTGCACAGCAGGGCAAGAAGTGACCGGGGAATGGGGCACAGAGGAAGAGGTTCACAAGAGATAACTGCAGTCAAGTAAGGCCAACCTCCCTAGATTTCCCCCACAGCCAATATAAGTACATAGACCCAAGCTTGGAATCATAATGGAAGTCTTATTTGACTGAATCACCTTTTACAGGAATCTTCCTCTCCACTGATTACTGAGGGAGCTCGAAGAGATAAATCTCCCTGAGTTGCTGCAAGTCAGTTTGAGAAGGCCCCATGCGTGCGCAGAACAGGCAGACAATACCTCTGTACAAGAGGATACAGCAGTAATAAGACTATAGAAAAACGCAAAGAGAATTCATGGATGAAGCAGGCAGAGGAAAGCAGAGAGCAACAAGGTTAATGAAGGAAGCTGTTTCTAACAAGTTTATAGAGGCTTATAAACTAAGGAATTTTTCACAGTGAGGGATAACATGAGTATTTAACCTTCAATGTATATATATAGTGTAAACTAGCAGAGGAATTTGTCTTATTCTCCCAATCCAAGACTTTAGAGAAGAGAAAGGAATTAAGCATTCATAAAAGCATCTTGGAAAAAACAATCATGTTTTAGTCAAGGTGTATAAGAATAATAAAGCTACAATAGAGTAATTTCAAAATAAATTAATCTAACAACTGTTTTTCATTCCTGTTTTAGACCCTTGAGTATTATTTTTGCTTTGGGCTCACGAAATTGTTACTTACCTACAGCCATCTCTGCAGGCAACAACAGTCATGTTGCATTTGGTATTATAATGTAAAATGAGTGATGCAAGACATCATACGAACAACAAGTTTGCTTTTGTGGATAGTGTTTTGTCAGATGTGTTGCTGCGACCTGACACAAAATATACCCACTCTCAGTCAGATATGACTCACTAAGGGAATGACACTGGTTTCAGTATTTGTTCTCATAGCATAAGTGAATTTGTTCTCATAGAACAAGTGATATAAGAATTTGTCTCAAAGTGTCTCCAACTCATTTCAAAGTAGACACACCACTGCAAATTTATATTTATTGTATATGCACGTTTAAACGTGAGGCAACCATAGCCATACAAGAGAGGTACTATAATAACCTTTTGCTTGTGTTTGACTTTCATGTAGTTGATTTTGACCTTCACTCATGTTACTGATTCTTGTTGTTTCTCTTACAGTTAAACCGACAGTAATTCACACTGACATGTACGTAAATAGCATTGGGCCTGTGAACGCTATCAATATGGTAGGTAAATGATTGCCAATTTTCCTACAATGTTCACTTTGTTACAAAGCCTCCATCGTTTTTGACATTACAAAGCTTCCATTAGTTTTAATGTTGTGTCATACCTAAATTATTTTAAAAATCTCATTCTTATGATGGATGTGAGGACTATATGAGCTATGAATCTCTACAAGACAGGGAAACTGAGCTCTATGCTGGAAAAAACATAATAATAATACTTTTAACACATCCTCGCACTTTTATGCGCTATGCTTTCAAGTGCTTTGTGACAGTTTAACTCCTGTAAAACTGAGCTTCCCGATTGGTACAAAATAAGGAAAACCATTCACCAGTGATAGTACCAAGCCACCAAGAGATGTAAAGAAAAAAGCCTAGATCCTCTCTCCTCTCCTCTTTCCAAAGTTCCTACAGAAAAATTTAATTATATCTTCATATAGTTGAGGGAAAACTGTCTAACCTTAGCACAACGTCTACTTCATTCTCATAGTTTTCATGCATAGAAAGAAATCTCAGATTGCTCTTTTCCATTCTGTAATTCACTTTGCAGCTCCTGGCTGCCCAGTGGTGCCAGGGAAAGTGAGACTTCACCACTTCTGACATCAACTGGGGGGCACAGGCAATTAAGGCAGCCAAGTCAGCTCAAAATTTTCCTGTCCTAGATCCAAGGGAATAAGTAATTTTTCTCTGACCTGATCAGGCATGGGTTGAGGCGTGGGGCCACAGAATTAGAAAGGCGCATATGCCACTCAGCTGAATCTTGGTTTCACCTGTCAGTGAGAAAATAAGAGGATAAATTGTTTCTAAACAATAATCTTTGTTAAACCATGCCCTCAAAAACTGACAAAAAATTGTTTTTATCAGTTCTAGTTTCATATTCTGTAGTTCACATTTTTTCATATGAAATTAAGGAAAGCATATCAGGAGTTATGCGAAATGCTGAGTGCTATGTTTTCATCAGTATTTCTGGTTAACACAACAGGAATATACAATTGATATATTTTTCGCCCAAACGTGGTATGACAGACGTCTGAAGTTCAACAGCACTATAAAAGTGCTCAGATTAAACAGCAACATGGTTGGGAAGATCTGGATACCAGATACATTTTTCCGAAATTCCAAGAAAGCTGATGCTCATTGGATAACAACTCCTAATAGGATGCTCAGGATCTGGAATGACGGCAGAGTGTTGTACACATTGAGGTATTTATACCTGACTTTAATTTCAGTTTCTCTAAGGAAAGCCAAAGAGAAAGGTCCTGTGAATTCAGGTCATTTGACATTAACCTGAAGGAAAATAATTGTTTTTTCCTATTTATTTATGTATACAACCCTGAAAAAGGGAAATATTTAGAAGATACTACTTGCATGCAATTTATTTTATATTGGCACAGTAAAGAGTTTTATTTCCTCCTATAGACTGTACTGTCTTGCTCCACAATACTAAATTGTGTGTTCCTATACTAAAATGAACATAAGCATTGTCATAGTAATTCATCTTCATTTTCAGGTATGTTTTATTGTTTGCCACTGGTTTGATCCATATTACCTTTTACCTTTTTATTGGATTAAAATGATGAATTTGAAATATCCTTGAATCAAGTAGATGGTATAAAAGGGGGTATTATATACATCAAAGGCCTCTTATTCTGAATTGATTACAATTTAGCTAGATGAAGCTCCACCCTGCAAAAGCATTTCATTCCTCAAATATCTTATGAAAATAAGGATTATCACTTCAGCATTGGTCATTTAAGGTTTAATCCAAAACCTACGGATATGCCCTGTTCCACTAAAATTTTCATTAATCTGAACTTGATATGCTCATCTCCGGATTTCTTAGGCATGTGTATAGCTTTTCTTTTGAGACAGATTTCTTCTAAAACCTATCTTTTCAATAATAAAGTTACGTGTATGCCTACATTTAAGTGCCACATATGCAAGATGTAACAACTCAAGTATCATATTCCCAATGACTATACGATACTTCCAAAATGTGAAAATCCTAAGTGCATTTTTTTTTTTTTACTTTTCCTTACATGTGATATAATATTCGGTTCGATGTAAAATGTAGATAAAGACAACATTTGTTGAAAAGAATTTATAATTTAAAATGAGAGTAGAGAATCAAAGATATTAGACATAAGACCATCTGAGTTTTAGACTGCTTTTTCTTCAAAGTGTTTTATTGGTGCCAAAAATAAAGTTTTGACGAGAAGTACACTCATTATAATTTTAATGCATAGATCTGAAGCTTTGGTTAGGACAACCTTTTAATGTTGCAACTGTCTGAATTACAAAAAGGAGTTTTATTTCATCGTTATTTTACATTCACTACACATCGCATCACCAGAAGAGGTAAGAGAATGATCGAACCTGAAATCCAGTGCAAATCAAAGTCAGTCTGATGAAGAAGATCCTAGGTCCACTTTTGAAATGTTAAATTTGGACTTAGCTACACTACTGTCTCTTTGGATTTCATTACTTTTCTCTTCAAACCCTTTGGTTTCTCTTATTAGAGAGAGAGAGATCTGATAGATCTTAGGAACAGCTATCTGTTATTAATGTATACTTAGTTGTTCTAGTGAGTCACAGCAAGCACCAGTAAGGATTCAACCTGGATTAATCCAGAAGTGAAATGTGATAGTATCATCACAGATCTGGGATTCCATCCTAATGAGAAGAGGGCTCAGGAAAGCTGGCTGATTTCCTCAGTCACCTCCCCCCAGGGCCAAGAACGGTCCATCCTGCCCAGCATAAAATCAAGCAAAGTCAAAGCAAGCCAAAGGCAGTCTGCATGGATCAGCACAAAGCTCCTGACAAACCTCAAACGTGAGAAGAAAACATACTAGAGGTGGAAGCAGGGACAGGTAATCCAGGAGTAATAAGAGATGCTGTCCGAGCACTCAGGGACAGGGTTAGAAAAGCCAAAGTTCACCTGGACTTGAATCTGGCTAGGGACATGAAAGCAAGAAGAGTTTCTACACATACAGCCTCAGCAAAAGGAAGACTTGAGAAAATGCGGGTGCACTGCTGAACGGGAACAGGGACCTTGTCACAAAGGACACCGGAAAGGCCAAGGCACACAATGCCTTCTTTGCCTCAGTCTTTACTGGTAAAACCCTGCCTTCAGCAATCCCAGGTCCCCAAGACCAGTAGGAAAATAGAGCAAGGAAGACTTACCTTTGGCGGAGCAGGATCAGGTATGGGCTAAATAAGTGAGGTGGATCGAATATGCCTGAACTGCCAGGCTCAAAGGGTTGGGACCAGTGGCATGAAGACCAACTAGGAAGCAGTCACTAGCGGCGTACTCCCCAGGTTTGTACTAGGCCAACACAGTTTAACATCTTCACATCTTCATTAATGACCTGGACAACGGGACAGAGTGCACCCTCGGCATGTCTGCAGCTAATACAAAACTGGGCGGAGTGAGTGGTATATCATAAGCTTGTGCTACCACTCAGAGGGACTGCAACATCCTGGAGAAATGGGCCAACAGGAATCTCATGGAGTTCAACAAAGGAAAACATCATCCTGAACCAGGGGAGGAATAATCCCATGCAGCAGTACAGGGTGGGGGCCGACCAGCTGAAAAGCACCTTGCAAGAAAAAGACCTGGGGATCCTGGTGGACGCTTACCATGAGCCAGCCAAGTGCCCTTGAAGCAAAGGCAAACAGCATCCTGGACTGCATTAGAGGAAGACTGTTGCCAGCAGGTTGATGGAGACGATCCTTCTCCTCTAGTGGGACACATCTGGAGTGCTGGGTCCAGTGCTAGGGTCCCCAGTACAAGAGGGATATGAGCTTAGTGGAGCAAGTGCAGTGAAGGCGCATTAAGATGGTGAAGGGCTGGGAGCATGGGATGGGCAGGGAAGGGCTGAGGGCGCTGTGACTGTTCAGCCTAGGGTAGAGAAGGCTCGGGGGATCTCATCAATGTGTGTAACATGGGTGGGGGTAAAGAGGGCAGGGGATGGAAGGGGTAAAGAAGGCAGAGACAATCTTCTCGGTGGTATCCAGTGATAGGACAGGAGGCAATGGGCACAAACTGAAGTACAGGAAAGTCTGTTTAAACATAAGAAGGAATTTTTTTACTGTGAGAGTGGTCAAACAGTGGAACAGGTTGTCTAGAAAACTCCGTGCCTGGAGATGTTCAAAGCCTGGACGGTGCTTTGTGCTGGAGAATGAAATCTACTCAATTCCACAGGAGAAAACAAACAAAAACCAGCAGTAAATCAGAGCCTATCCCAAATCCAAACAGTGTTAAATATATTCACCAGAGAAAGGGCAATATCAAAGAACGAACTTAATCTTTGGATCCATATTACAACGATCTTGAAATGAAACTGAAAATGATGAAAATGAGAAGAGAAGGAAAGGGCAATTACATTAGCACATAGAATCAGCTTCCTTTCTATGTCACAAACAGAACTTCCCTTAGTTTCAAAGGAAATTAGATTTGTTCCTAAATCCCTAATGCAGAAAAGTTTCCTTTTGACTTCATTAACTTGGTGGCTAGCGGTCACAGCACCCCCTGCATCTCACAGTATGAGACTCCGGGAGTCATCTGCGTGCAGCACCTATAGACAGGAGCCAGGAGCCAAACCCAGCTCACGGGGTTGCTCATTTGGACACCCAGGAATCAGCAAAGACCAGAAACCTACGGTTTTCTTAGAGACTCATGGAACAAATAAACATCACTCTGCTCTCCCCCTCCTCCCTCTCCTTTTGCCCTCTCTCACTCCACCTCCTCCCTCCTTTCCAAGTCCAAGTATCATGCAGCTCATGGCAGGGCTGGGGCTATGTATAGCAACAATTAAGGGACTGAATGAAAAATGGCAGAGTTTTGAGCAGGCACATCAGGGGATACATCTCATCTAATTTTGGATTCCTAAAAGTACACGTCTCTACCTGATCTATAGCACTTACACCACACGAGTTATCATGGAGACTCTCCTGACATCCAGTGGAGAGAAACACCTTTCAATACATTCTTCTTCTGATTTAATTTAAATGTCTTATTTTGGAATGAAATTAAGTATATCCTCAGAGCGCCTTTCCACTAGCTATGACGGTAGTCTAGATGGCTGTCTTGGATGTGGATGTCTAAATTTGGACTCCCATCTATCATTTTTGAAACAGAATTTGTGTCACATAAAACACATTTCCCTAGTGCATTATGGCATGTTGTGACACAGAGATTTGTCACTGCTCAGGAGATGACCTGTATATCTACTCATGGATTTGCCAGTCATGGGTAATGCTGACATTTCAGATGCATAGGAACAGAACTTTAATACCTTATTCTATTACACAGTCCAGAAAGTAGATGATTAGGGCCTATGTAACCAAAAAAGAAACACTTCTTATCAGTAACCATGATGTCTTCCTATGCTTGGAATATCCAAATTAATACATACATATCAGTAGTTTGATTTTGCTTTATTTACATATATATCTTATATTTGCATACTTCATAGTCAGGTTCCATACTAGTAAGAATCTCGTTTTGCTTGCCATGATGTAGCTTTCAGGACAAGCTTCTCAAGTGCGTTCTGTATATCCTGATCTCTTTCTCCTCAGGCTGACAATTGATGCTGAGTGTCAGCTACAGTTACACAACTTCCCAATGGATGCCCATTCCTGCCCCCTGGAATTTTCAAGCTGTAAGTAGCATGCTTAGAAATACCCCTTTTCTGACCCACACTGGACCACTTATTATAAATTTATATTTACATACCTTGAGTCAGCAAGGGTTATGTTCTTAACTAGACATAGTCCAATGGTTTTCAGTTTTATTATGACCTTATTGTCAAGTACATGAATATGTTCACAAATATAATTGAGGAATGCTATATAAAAAATGATACAATTTCTGGGACCTATGTGATTAATTTATGCTTCTATCTTAGCATAACAGTACAAATTTTTACTTTCAGCATCAAAGCCTCATGGCCTGATACTTTCTCTCTGCACATGGGTGTTTAACTATTGCAATAGTTGGAGTCAAGAGTTTGACATTTTGCAGTCAGGTCAAGGTGTGAATTCCTGGTCCAGCTGCAGAATTTTTGGCCATAATTGAAGGATGGGCAAAATTGCATCCTATTGGGACCACAAAAGTGGAAAATTCATTTTTGAAAAATTTATCTCAAGTGCTATTTTAAATTATAATAAATAAGATAAAATGTGACATTAAGGAAAAGGTACTACTAAGTAACTTGAGAAAAAACATATCTATAATTTACTTGCAATAAGCTCCTCCAGTTTTCTCCAGAAATAGAAAATAGTATTTTTACTCCCCAAAGTACACTAAAATCCTAGCAATGACTATGAAACAAAGTATTCTGTATTTTCCATTGCAATAAGATGGCTACCCAAGAGAAGAGATTATTTACCAATGGAAGCGCAGCTCAGTGGAGGTGGGGGACACCAGGTCCTGGAGGCTTTACCAGTTCTCCTTTACAGGATTAAGAAATACAACTGAGGTGGTGAAGACTACTTCAGGTAAGACAACTGATCTGTTACCTTCAGATTCATTTAGGATTTTATTATCAGAAAGAAAAAAAGATAGATACCTCTGTTTGGAACTTAGCACTGGCACTTCACTAAACAATTAATGGCTTTTAAATACCTATGGAACCATCCAGGCTTCAGTATTTCTGAAGAAGAACTCACAGGAAGAAAAAAAAGTTGCTGTCTACTGTCCATTCTTCTCCTCCAAGAAATACCTAGAACTACCAGGAGAAAGGCACTACTACAAGGGGTGGGTGCACGAGGGAACTCCCTATCCTGCTTCAGTGGAGGAGACAGCACAGCTGAGCCACTAAATGATAATCTGATACTGCTTTGAATACTTTACAATCCCCTTCCAACTTCCAGAAGCAGAAAGTAGGCCTGCACAGAAATGAAATTCAAAGTCCCAACCTTTTTACTACAGCACCTCCAAGTTTATTTTGTTCCTTAACACAAGGCATATCCAACTCTCATTAAAGAGAACAGCCTAACAAATCAGAGTCTCAGATGATTTTCCTGCATATTTTGTGTCTCCTAGGAAACAAGTAATGGAATTTAAAATGATAAATGAGGAAGTACTCAGCGTTTAATAAAAATAGCAATTTTAACCCTACTAACTAAGCAGGAAAACACATTCTTCTAGACACATATATTGTTTTATTTCTCAGTGGAAAGAAAATCTGAATATGAGAAAGGATGTAAAGAGGAGTTGCATATTCCTATCGTTGTATGTGCATGATATTCCTTGTCTTTGGTTTCTTACTTTCAAAAACAACAGTGAAATGAAAGCAGTTTTTCTTTTCAGGTTGCTTTTGATTTTTACCTTATTTTATTATTCTGGCAAATGTATTGATTTAAATTCAGACATCTGACTTCAGAAATATCCCCATCCGTTTTATTTCTAAAAGGTCAGCATTGCTGTTCTATTCAAAAGGAGAGCAAAAGATGCTAGAGTTGAGGAGCCTGCTGTGCATTACACTGGAGTGCAAAGAAAGAGGTTGAGAATTAATTCAAGTTCCAACTCCTGAATCACTGGACATTAAGCACCAGTGACATGTTTAGTCTTATGAGCAGGGCAAAAATGGAATGAAGCCTCCCAGCTGTAGCCATATTTGCCTTATGGCATCTCCTGCCATTTTAGCTGAGAAGGATATTTAGTCAGCTATTCAAGAAAGCATTTGACCTTTCTCATTTTCCCAGGAAAATAAAAATAAAGGTGCAAGAGAGGACAAGAGTGCAATGTGTGTGAGCCATAGCTGCTGATAACCACCATTACACGTGACAGGGTGGAATTGCTCTCAGAGCAAAAATATAAACAGCAATACATCGCACCTCAGACTGCCCCCGCAACAGGCAAAGCACAAAAGGCAGCAGTGTACCCAAGCGTGGTGTAAGGGCTCATCCTGCCCTGGTTGAAAACTAACTTTATTTCAGCCTTAATTCGAGTTTCTTTTATTTGCTCCTTTGCTTTCCTTTTCTGCTTGAGCCATTCTCTAATAAACTTTTTTTTTGGCCTGAGACAGAAAGTAATAAAATCTTAACATGCTACAAGCTTCAGATCCACTGATCTTGCACTGGCAAATTAAAAGCACTCTCTAATGTTCTGCTAAGGTAAAGAAAGTGCATACTGGGAAACAAACAGTAAAACACAGAAAACAAAAAGATACTTTCTTCTGCAAAGAAAACCTTTTCTTTTTTTCAGGGGATAGCCACTCAAGCTTGTAGCACTCACCCAGAGTACTACCATAATGTTGCATCAGTAGTTTTTAATATGACGACACACGCCAGCCCTTTTAATTTGCTTAAAAAAAAAAAGTAATTAGCAGCTACCATGCACTTTAAAGCAGCAAAGAGTCAGTGTAGTCATCACTTGATTCCTAAGAAGAAATGCTCGTGAAAGCTACTCAGCCTACTGAGCTGCTTTCAAAGACCTGCTGAGTATAAACAACAGAAAAGCATCCTGTGTATGTATTTCTTCTGCTGCAGTTACCTTATGTTTGATTTTCCTTGCTCCTCTTGTTTTTACGAACACAGGTGTGCAAGCAAATTAGATTTTATTCTGATCTAGGTGCAGTATCTGAATAATTAGAAGGCGGGAAAAAAAACCCCAACAAAATAGGGATTGCCATGGATCTGGTCATCACACACTAAGGAGTGCTCATTGCTTACCTAAGGGGCTTATTAGCATGCTGGGAACTACATTAAGTCCAACATTCCTCAGCCAGACCCATACTCTGCCTGTAACCTGTAAACATGCACACGTTTTCAATAAAGTTTCCCCAAAAGAAAAGACAAGAAAAATATTCCAAGCTTATAGATTTATTAGCAACCTATGGGCAGCCTGAGCGCGCAAGATAAATGTTTGAATACCCATATAGCCAAAATAAGTCTCGAGACTTTATGCAACTAATTGCAGTCCTGCGCATCATAGAATTTAGGTATAAACTAACGACAGTACCATTGCCAATGCTTCGGTGGGGATACGAGCTGAGGTACAATGGAGGAGACAATGGAAAGATTAACGAGATGTTGGAAAGAGGACTATACTATACTTCCAAGAACTCTTCCCCAAAACTAAATTTAGATGACAACAGAAACCAGAGAAACCTGAACACAAGAAGGAGGGATTAAGAGAACATGAGATTGAACAGTCACAGAACAGAAGGAGCCTGGGAGTAGTGTTAAGGCATTTGAAACTGGAATAAACTTTCCATATCTGCATTTACTCCATTTCAAAACAAAGGCTTTTTTCTAGCTTCATTCCTCCCAGTGACTAACACATTCTAGTCCTTGAGGGCTATGTTTGCTTGGTGACTGGAGCAGAGAAGAGAATCAGAAAGGATGGCTGAGACTTGGTCATTACAAACTCCATTACCTCTCTCTCTGTCATGCCATAGCTGAAACATTTGTGATCTGGGCTGAGCTATGGGCAGAGAAGGACAAGGATTGTTTGAGGTTAAGCTTCATAGGAGCTGACGGACTTGCTGAAGTGACTACATTTAT